TTTCTCTCTACTTTTTACACAATATTTTCATAAAAAGTAAAAAAGTCATCCCAAACATACTAGTTTTTTTACGTTACATTTTAGCCAAAAAACTAAAAAGTTACTAAAATAGCTTGTTCCCAAACGAGGCCTTAAGATAACTTTTTGTTTTTTTATAAAAAAAAATGTGTAATAAAATATTATAACAAATATCAAAATTACCAAAATGCCCTTACTGACACAGTCAACAAGTAACACTTTCTCTCTCTTTTCATTTTTTTTTTTTATTGTAGCAAATCTGACTCACAAACGTGCTACGTTTTCACTTTTTATGGAAAATTGTGCTGCCAAATTATGGCTGCACAGTTTGATTGACTTGTATTTTTTTTTTTTTTCAAACCGACATATTTCCTGCCAAAAGTATTGGTGAATAGTATAAATTTTTTTACTTTTTTAATGATTTTTTAATTTTTTGACTTTTTTTATATATGCCAAATTAGGCCTTAGTTATTATATCATTACACAGATAGGAGAGATGGAGACAGATAATATGATCTCAGCCCATGGAGTAGTCTAGAAACATTTGAGAATGAACCAATATTCCAATCTTCACTTATTCTAAAAAAATGAACTCTTATGGAAAATTGTACTGCCAAATTATGGCTGCACAGTTTGATTGACTTGTATTTTTTTTTTTTTTCAAACCGACATATTTCCTGCTAAAAGTATTGGTGAATAGTATAAATTTTTTTACTTTTTTAATGATTTTTTAACTTTTTGACTTTTTTTATATATGCCAAATTAGGCCTTAGTTATTATATCATTACACAGATAGGAGAGATGGAGACAGATAATATGATCTCAGCCCATGGAGTAGTCTAGAAACATTTGAGAATGAACCAATATTCCAATCTTCACTTATTCTGAAAAAAAATGAACTCTTATTTTTATATTTTTGTAATGAATTGTTTTTGACAGAATATCAATGTGGATAGACCAATAAAAGGTTGCAGAAACGAACAAAGTTTTTAAATTTTTAGTATTTAATAATGTCATATGTAATAACAGAATTTTAGTATTTGAAATGAAACTCATCAGGATGATATGATGTGCACAACTCATTTAAATAAAATGAAATAAAAAATTGTAACATTTATTTATATAACACGACACAAAAAATTGATATGCAATCAATTTTTAAGCGTGGATATATTCTATGATGGAAAATGTTTGGGACCTCCTTTAAGGATGACTCTCACATTCAAAGTGATCATAGCCTTCCATATATGTGTGAAACCCACTCATATATATATGAAGTCCACATCATAAATAATTTAGATTTGTGGGGTCTTGTAAGAGCGGGCGTCTCAATCATCACTCTTCCATGATAATGTTACAAATCTTTTCATTGGCACGGGTTGTGCACATCGTATTATTTAGTGGCGAAACTACTAAAGGGTCAGGAAGTGTAATTGAGAATTCTACTTATACCCTTATATAATTTAAAAATTCAACTTATATTTCTATGTAATCAGAAACATTTATAATATATTTGGTTTATTAACCTCTAAATTCCAAATGAATTTGGTTTGATCTTCTCAAAATTGAAATAATTTTATGTTGTTTCTTGAAATCTCCTCCTAATTTTTTGCTTATCCAATATTTTCTAACTGCACTGTATAATCTGATATAACCAAAGAGTAATGTCAAAAATCAAGAATTCATATACAAAATAGTTCCAAAAAGAAATAGTATATGATTATACTTTTAAATTATACTACTGTAAAAAAAAAAAATATATATATATATATATTAAAAAAAATCTACAAAGAAGAAGACTCATATTTTAGCCCTAGATATGATAGAGAGCTTTAGTAGAGCTACTCTAAAAGTGAGCAGCTCTACTGAGCCGGTAATGCACCACACATAAAAAAAAAGAAAAAAGACAAATTAATATTATTTTAAAACTCTTCTTTTAGAGTTCTAAAACATTTTTCTTTTAACCCCCTCTAATTTCGCGTTGGGTTATATTTATCACGTATTTTATAATATTTTAGTTATTACTTGACGTGGGACACTTACCATGATTAGATTTAGTGAGATTCGCCTGGGATCAATTATATTAATAGATGTGGGTGTGTCACATCTAGTAATAAATAAAATATGGTCATTGCAGCATTATTATACACAACATTATATATGGTAATTTTTTCATGTTCTTTTGTCCCAATTTATCTCTTTACCATACTGGTTTTAATCTTGTATGGTAGAGAAGTGACTTGGGATATAAGAACAAAATAAGTAATGTTGAGATGGCCAAATTTATATATCAAACTTACTCACCATCTAAACATTTCCAATGGATGTGTCATTGGTCATGTCAAAGTCAAAAAATGGCTTGGCTTCACAAAATTAGTGTTCCAATAGTGTGTTATTGCTCTAGTAAAAAAATAGCAAAGTCAAATCTTGAGTTAAATTTTGACTCAAAATTTGGTAAAACCATCTTGCTATCAAAATGAAATTGGTATCAAAATTAACTGATTTTAAAAAATCAACAACAATTTGGTACCAAAACTAACTTTCAGAAACCAACGACAATAAAATTGATACCAAAATCAACTAAAGCTATTGCTTAAACTTCAAAAGCGAGCATCTCAACTAAGCTGGCAATGCACCACACAAAAAAACAAAGAGGGGAAAAAAGACAAATTAATATTATTTTAAAACTTTTCTTTTAGAATTCTAAAATATTTTTCTTTTTAACCCCCTCTAATTTCGCGTTGGGCTAGATTTATCACATATTTTATAATATTTTAGTTATTACTTGATGTGGGACACTTTTACCATGATTAGATTTAGTGAGATTCGCGTGGGATCAATTATATTAATAGATGTAGGTGTGTCACATCTAGTAATAAATAAAATATGATCATTGCAGTATTATTATACACAATATTATATATATTAATTTTTTCATGTTCTTTTGTCCCAATTCATCTCTTTACCATACTGGTTTTAATCTTATATGGTAGAGAAGTGGTTTGAGATATCAATACAAAATAAGTAATGTTGAGATGATCAAATTTATATATCAAACTTACTCACCATCTAAACATTTCGAATGGTTGTGTCATTGGTCATGTCAAAGTCAAAAAATGGCTTGGCTTCACAAAATGGTGTGTTATTGCTCTAGTAAAATAATAGCAAAGTCAAATCTTGAGTTAAATTTTGACTTAAAATTTGGCAAAGCCATCTTGCTACCAAAATGAAATTGGTATCAAAATTAACTGATTTTAAAAAATCAATAACAATTTGATTACCAAAACTAACTAACTTTCAGAAACCAACGTCAATAAAATCAATACCACAATCAACTGAAGTTATTGCTTAAACTTCATGGCAAAGAAGACAAAGGTGGTTGGGTGGTTTTTTTTTTTTTATAATTATATATATATATATACATTTTTGAGGGTTGTAAAATAAAAATTGTTGAAAGTTTGGACGGGAGAATGGTAGTTGAAGAATTTAAAATGTAATAGAAGTTAAATTGTTGATAAATTTAGAAGTTAGTTGAATTTGACAAATGATTATGTCAAAACTTTAAATTTGTTAACAATAAAAATTAGGGTAAATTATAAATACAACATTTGAGATTTGCTTAAAGTACAGATTGTCTCCTGTAGTTTAAAAAATTACAAATGCCCTTTTGTTAGAATTTTTTATTTAACAGAATTAATTAAAAAAAAATTATAATTGCTCTCTTATATAATAATAAATTACCTAAATTATTAATTAAAACACATTTCTAACATTATTAAAAGTTATTAATTGACTTGATAATTTATTAATAAAATAAATAATTTGTTATGAAATTAGAAATCTCAAGAGGTGGAATATAATTTTCAAGATAATTCATATTTTAATCAAACCTCAGATAGTGTATTTATAATTTATCCTAAAAATTAATTTTTGACTATATAACTCCAATGAAAACTTACCATCTTAATACAATTATTTGTGAGATTCAACTAACTTTTAAATTTATCAATAATTTAACTTTTATTACATTTCAAACTTTTCAATTATCATTCTCCAACCAAGCTTTTAACAATTTTTATTCTACCAATCCAAAATATATATATATATATATATATAAAATACAAATAAAATAAAAATAAAAAACCACCCTCTTTTTCCTCATCATCACCACCACTTTCCTCTTTTCCCCGCGAATTGTTCTCTTCTTCGACGGCTTATCATCATCTCCGTACTCCGACGAAGACTCAAGAGACCTGTGCCGACTCACCTCCGTCTTCTTTGCTGTGTAGTTTCAGCAAAAACTTCACTTAATTTTGATACTGATTTTATTGTTGTTAGTTTCTTAAAATTAGTTAATTTTGGTATTAAATTATTGTTGATTTCTGAAAATCAATTAATTTTGATATCAATTTTTATTTTGGCAGTAAGATGATTTTGTCAAATCTTAAGACAAATTTGGCTCGAGGTTTGGTTTTGCCATTTTTTGACCAGAGCAATGGCACAGTATTGGTGCACCAATTTTGTAAAGCCAAGCCATTGCTTGGTTTTGGCATAACCAATGGCACGACCATTGGAGATGCACTAATGTGTCATTACAGTATTGGGTACAATGCATAATGACACAAAAGAAGTGGGATTATATGACAATTTGGTATAAAATTTTTGTGATTCTATCATTAATCAAATAGGAGAGATGGGGACAGGAGATCTAAACTTGGCTCTACATAACCAATCCAATCTTCACTTTATGTAGTCTTATGATATATATGAAGGTTCATGCTTTAGTCATTGTTGGCCAAATTTCCAAGAAACTTCAAATTTACAACCCCTTTTTTGTCCCTGCCAACAGAAAGAATTGAATATCCTAACTTCACAACATGATACAATGTTATGAATTTTATTTTAGTGTTGTAACTTTGAGTTTGTTGGGTATGACTAATAATCATTATATATATGTATATATATTATTTTGTTGTTGACAGCTTCTAGGTTTACTAGGAAACTTAAAGGGCATAACATCAGGTTTAGTGGCTTCTGAGTGTGTGCTTAAACTGTTGAATGAGGGACAAATAGAGTTCATAAACAAGAGTGAGCCACAGCAGCTAACACAATTTGCAGCCCACTTCATTAGCAACACCGATCAAGCCCAATCTTGCAATTTCGCTACTTTTCTCCCTATCGAGGAGGACACTCCTCTCCAGGTATGTGTTGATAATATAAATAATAAAGTTACTCATCTCTCTATCTATGATTTAAGCTTCTAGATGAAATGATAGTTAAAATTTTATTATGATGTGTAACAGATAATAAATCCTATGATCAGCAATTTATCTGTGTACCCCTATGTTACTTACACCCATGTAATATGGCAAAATTAGAAATCAAGAAACAATGAAGAAAAACAATTTACTTGGTTCATCTTAAAGTCCATGTCCACGGGTGATGAATGACACAGAAATTTCACTATGAAAGTGTAAAATACAATGAGTCGCTCTTTGCAGAAACTTTCATGACCCAAAAAAAAAAAAAAGAACTAGAACCCAAAAATAACCATTGCACAGGCCACCAATGGGTTTTTAAACATAAATCAATTTGAATTCAAGACACCCAAAACATGTAGCATATCCATCTTTCCACATAATGAAACACTTGCTATGTTCTGACTTCTAAGTTCTAACCAGTTGAGTGCATTAACTGCAATTTAGAAGTAAATGAATTGTCTATCATCAAGCAGTTCTAACATTTGGATATGAGCAATTCAAATGTACATTGCCACTTGATGTATGCATGAACATATGATTTACTAGGAAATTATGTATCCATGGTGGTGATGGATCAGATCACCAATTTAATATTGTCATTTCTCAGAGAGCAGAGTGGATCAAGTATCTAGGAGTTTTTGCTAACATGGAAACCAGAGCAAATCAAGTCTATGATGCTGTAAGTACACAAATTATCGCATTTATTTACCACTATCTAAAGTTAATTAATACATCTTGATTTTCTCATTATCTCTAGTTATTTATTTTGATATGCAAACAACTCAAAATTCACTGTCTTAATATTCTTTTTTTTGAAAACTCAAAATGTTTGAAAGTGAAAAAATTTGTCTATGAAGTTGTAGTAGTAAAAAGTGAAGACATAATACATTCATTTCTTTCAAGTCTATGGCTTAAGTTTACCAAAAAACTGATTTACTTTAGTAAAACTTAATAGCAAATTACTACTTCGGTTTTCTGTTTGACCACACATTTAAAATATGGAAATGTTTTTTGCTGAAACGAACAGGAGGTTAATTAGCTAATGTTTGACAGATTAAAGAGAACTATATGTGCTTGATGAAAGCAGCTGCAAGCAAGACAACATCGTTCAAACCAACAGTAGCTTGGATGAAGTACGACAATGTATGTGTTAATTGATTATCAATAAATAATGTTGTAATCCATTTATCTTCAAGTGATCTTACTCTAGTTTTTTTTTTGTTTTGCTAAAGCACTCTAGTTGATTCATCATCCTTATATGATATAAGATAAGATACAGATACACCTGTGAAGTGTTTGTGACGTTCTCTTTTTATGCTAAAATTGAAAATGGGCACACAAAATATAAAGAATGAAGAAATAATGTATTACTCTAATCCAAATTACTTGTTCATTCACAATATTTCTCCTTTTAATGTTGCAGGGTGAATGGTCTTTTACAAAGGATACATACAAATTAAAGGTACAAATTTAATTTTCAAAAATTAGGCATTCCATAACGGGCTTAGAAATCTTTTTTATATGCACGTTTAGCATGGCTAATTACCCAAAGCTGACCCTTAGAGTAATGTTTGACACCTCCTAAGCATTTTTTGGGTCAAAAATTGAGAAGAGATGTGCATAAGTTCAGTGTGATCTACTCAGAGTTTTAGGGTTGAACAATAAAAATAAATCAAATATTTAGAAAAATTTAAGCATTTGGCAGTCAAGATTTAAGATCCTAAGCATTTTTTGGGTTAAAAATTGAGAAGAGATGTGCGTAAGTTCAGTGTGATCTACTCGGAGTTTTAGGGTTGAACAATGAAAATAAATCAAATATTTCGAAAAATTTAAGCATTCAGCAGTCAAGATTTAAGATATTTGAGATCATTTTATTTATTTTTTTGAGTGTGTTTACTTTGGATTGATTAAACTTTGATGCAGCTTGTGGAAGATGCAGGTGGGGAGAATATTGACAACTCCATCAACAAATATACCTACAACACCTCTATTCCCGACGACCTGGATGAATTTCATGCCATTTTGTTTGTGAGTCAATTCAAAGTCTTTTGAATTCTAATTAATTTGATTTTAATTGCATTCTTGCATCATGAACTCTGCTTGTTTGGTATCATTTTTGTTTTTCATGTTTTCATTAAAAAAAAGTTTGAAAACATCCATAGTTTTCATATCAGTTTCATTTTTGTTCAAAACCAGTTTTTCGAAAATTTCAAAAACAAGCTTTTAGTGTTTCCTAGAATGTGGGTTGCCATAGGTTTTGGAAACAGGTTGCCGAACGGAATAATAAAAACTAAAAAGTGAAAGAGACGTTTATAGACATACCTATTCTTGTGTTTCCATTATAATACTTGTTGAGATTCAATTTTCCTTTGTGTAGACTGTGGATGTAGTGATTGATGAAACCAATACTTCTGATCCAGTGGGATACACTCTGTCCACCTTTCTCCAAAATATTGATTTTGATGATCAATCTTGTTGTACTTTTCTTACCAATCAAAGCCTATGGAGATATGATAAGAGGATCCAAAACAACACCACTCTTGGTGAGCCACCATTCTTCTCATTGCTTTATCAATTTTCTTTTCTTTTCTTTTTGTGTTTTGTAGAGTGGGTTAATTAATTATACATAAAAATGATAGATATGTATAATTTTGTTTTGCTGATGATTAATTTTGCTTAATTTGTTCTGTTTGTGAACTACCAAGACTGGAACGACGGAGCAGTGTCGCAGCCTCAACTGGTTTTAGCAGACCTAATTGAGGCTTTCTTTCCATCAGGAAATTACACAACATCATACTTCAGAAATCTTGCAAAGGTAGGGTGCTCTGTTTTGAAAAAACAAAAATTAGAAAAACATATTAATTTTGTTTTCAGTGAATCATTTTTACTCAAATTATATTTTCTAAATTGCAGGAAGGAGTTGTAAGCATCACTCCACAAATGTGTAATAGGGATACCTCCATTGCCATGGAGCCTACCATTATAGCTTGCAACTAAAGATTTACAGTGTGAATTTAAATGATTTTTAATTTTCAGTATCCAATTTGTTTTTTTCCTTTCTTCTTTTTAGTATTTCGGAGGCCATAGTATGGAGTCTTGTGTGTGGCAAGACTCAAATCTTTGACCTCCTAATGAGGTCCAAAGGTTCAAGGGTTTTAGCCAATTGAATTAGCCCTGCTTGGTTTTAAAATATCCGATTTCTGTTTTTGATGTTTTTACTTCTATTCTTCAATTTTGTATATTTCAAACCATAGTTAAATTATGATTGTAGATTTTGTGGACCAACATAATTAAGTTAATTTGTCTACTCATATGCATCATGAACTATTTTATTAATGTGCAACCTATATTCATTCTAACATTAGTGGATATCACACCATAACCAATCTAGCAACACTTTAATTTTTGGCGTAAATTATATTGATCTCTCCTGAAGTTTGAAAAAATACAACTAGTCTCATTGTTCTGACACAGTTACACCAACAAATGGACCAGAATTAATACAGATCATTTAAAAATACAATGATAAATAAGATATAGTATACATTTCAACATAAAAAAAAATACGACAACATTTTTTTATCTATATGACTAAAAATTACTGATAAAAAGGGAACAAATTGTCATATAAATTAAAACTTTAAAAGAACCCAATGTAATTATGTCAAGCTTGTGAAAATTACTATATTTTTTTTTAACTTCAAAGATGGTCAGTATAATTTACAATAATTTATTTATGGACACTTTTGTTAACACTTCTCTATGCAAACATGACACGAGGAAGTCCATCTTCAAAAACTTTTTCACATAGAGAAAGCATGACAAGCTTATTAGTAACTCCTCAAAAAGCTTAGAATGGCTAAACATATAAAGGCCCAGCCATGAACAAGTAAAGAATGACTGTCCACCATTTTCTTCTTTGCTGGCTCTACATGAACCACCTCCTCTCTCTCTCAAAAGTTATTTTACAACCAAAAAACGAACATTACAATGTTGCAGAGACACCTAGCTCTAGCAACATTGCCCTATCTCTCTATCATCCTCTACGTTTTCTTCATCCTCTTCAGTGTCCGCATAAAATCGCCTCTTCTATCTCCCTCCAACACCACCATCGCCCTTAACAAAACCCATCGTCTACACCATCGATTCACACTCTTGATCGGAATCCTTACCCGTGCAGACTTGTATGATCGCCGCCACTTCCTCCGCCTTGTCTACGGAATCCAGTCCTCTCCCATAGCCGATATCGATGTCAAGTTTGTATTTTGCAGTCTCACCAAGCCCGAACAAAGGGTTCTCGTAGCTCTTGAGATCATGCGGTTTAATGACATCATCATCCTCAACTGTTCCGAAAATATGAACAACGGCAAAACTTACACGTACTTCTCTTCGCTCCCCCGCATCGTTCCAAGCCGTTACGACTACGTCATGAAGGCTGATGACGATGTTTACATCCGGCTTGCACCGCTGGCATTGTCGCTCAAACCATTACCAAGGATAGATTTGTACTACGGCTTTGTCATTCCTTGCACTAGCTTGAACCCGTTTGTGGGTTACATGTCGGGGATGGGTTTTCTGTTGTCTTGGGACCTTGTTGAGTGGATTGGGAATTCAGGTATTCCTGTAAATGACACATTTGGACCAGAGGATAAGCTGGTTGGAAAATGGCTAAACATGGGGAACAAGGCAAAGAACAGGTTTTCGAATAAGCCTGCAATGTATGACTATCCAGGAACTAATGGAAGGTGCTCACATGAGCTTATTCCAGATACTGTGGCAGTTCACCGTCTTAAGAGATGGGATCACTGGTTTAATGTACTGAATTTTTTCAATGTAACAGAGGAACTTAAGCACTCGAAACTCTACAATGTATAATTCAATTTCTAAGGCAAAAAGTAGAGTTTTGAGTGAGGGTATTGTTTGGATGTCCTAAATAGGTGCATTTTTGACTTTTTGGACTAAAAAGTAAAAGAAAAAAAAATAATTGTTTAGGATAACTTTTTGTCTTTTTATAAAAAAATGTGTATTAAAATATTATATAAAATAGCAAGATTACGTTTTTACCCTTATGTTCTAGACTCATCAGTGACAGTGCTGCAGAAGGACCATACGGAATGGTTGAAATGGTGAGAAGCATTTGAACCATATGCATATGGAGCATGAGGCTTCACGGGTATTGTTGGGCCCGTGGGGGCCCACCACAGGTCTTGTTTCGATAATCTAAACCGTTTAATGTGTAGAACTCGTTGAGTACTATATGCCTGTAAAAAATCACTTTGATTAAATATCGATAGCTATGTGATCAAAACAGTTTTGTATGAGAAAAATGGACGATGAAAAATAAGCAACTGGAAAAAATCCAATTTGATCACATAACTATCCATATCCAATCAATGTGATTTTTTTCAGGCATATAATACTCGATAAGTTCTACATATTCAATGGTTTGAATTATCGAAACGAGATCTGTGGTGGGCCCCCACAGGCCCAACAATATCCTCCAACTTAATGAATATATATATATATATCTAATTTTTTTTTGGTCCATCATTGCGTAAATTTCCCATCACTTCAGTACCATCACTGTATAACTTTTTGAATTGGACTGATATTGTGAAAATTAATTTTTTTTATATTTTTAATTTATGAATAGTGCTAATTTTTTTACTTTTTGGATAATTTTTTAACTTTTTGACTCTCTCAAGATGCCAAACCAGCTGCCCAATGACAAACATATCAAAAATTGTTGGAGGTGCGTGATGTTGTACCTCAGAAAACCAAGTGGCCCAAGTGCTTCGAGAATTAAACGCCAGCGTCAAATCAAACAAACAACACCTGAAACACTGCAGTAGTACAGCACAGTGAATACTAATGCTGAAACCCTAAACGATCATTTGACTGAGCAAAAATCATCAGCAATTTCTGCAAGCAATCAAGAATGTATGAGAGATCTGTAATGGGAAAAATGGAAGTGACCGAAAATTGTATGACCAAAGAATTGCATCATCAATAGCTAACAGTGTTACTCAGGTTGCCTTCTTTATGGATAAGAATGTAAAACTAAAAAGCGAAATAATATTAATTATAACTCTGTCTAGCACAAAACCAATGCATGCCATTTTTTTGGTACAAAAACCGTTGTATGGCATTGCACACAATTGAAAAAAGGACATCCAATAACAGCACTAATACGGATAGGTCTTCAAACATGAAGAAGTAAGCAGCCGAGAAGGTAGAAATTCTTGTGGAGAAGAATTTATGAGACTGAAACTCAGCATGGAATGGCGGTACATGAATAGATGTCATGAATGGGCCACATATACACTGAAGAAGTCTAGTTGAGATGCCCAGCAGGATTTCTGTTCCATGACAGGTAGGATGGATCCCCAAGTGGCCTGCATGAACAGCACAAGGCAATGAGGGCAAGCCAAAAAAAAATCTTAAGTAGATCAAAACTAGAAGACATTATGAGAACCTTTCACTCACCTTGGCTTGACAACATACAAAACTATGAAGCTCATTGCCAAAAATAAGCAAAGTCCACCAACTGTAAGGTATGCTATGCCCAGGAAATCATTTTTTCCACCAATCCAACTTGTCGTTGAAAGGACCAGTTTCTTTTTCCCTCCAAAGCTATATGTGTTATAATTGTTCTGTATCACTACTGTTATATTTTGATTAGCTTCAAGATCCACCTCTATCTTCCCATAGAGCTTTCTGAAAGTTGGTAATGCCGCAGTTCGCATCCAAACAATAAGATCCACCTGGTTGCTTAACTGTTGCATGCAGCATAAAGAAAACAAAGATATTAGTTGCAGGGAAAAGTGAAAGAAGGATAAAAAATTAAAAATAACTAGAAAATGAAAAATAGGCAGAAAGAAGTGGATAGAACAAATCAAACATGCACATACAGGTATGCTCTCATTGAGTTTTGCACCCCCAATCAGACCTCCACTTTGAAAATTTTTAGGATAAACATCAGACCCAAATTTATGCCTTTGATCGCTTTTCCATGCTATGTCCTTTTTACTGACTTGAAGCGATTTGTTCTGCAACATAAACCCATATGTATCGTTGAACAAACTCCAAGCAATAAGGCCACAAGGAACGATTGGACCTTTGTCTGTCTTTGCTTCAGGTTCACAGTCTTCTACATCAAACTCATATGCCCTGCTGCGCAATTGATTGTCACTTCTACTTTTGACATATCTGAAATTTTGTAGTCACAAGTCAGAGATAGAAAGGTACATCCTGCCCTCAGAAGTTGACTTCAGCATGATTACATGTCACAGTACTTGATATGCATTTCTAGCTATCGCAATTAATCTATTACAGTCCTGAGTTCTACACATATAGCAAAGAAGTGTAACATAGCCTTATTGGTAGTTGCGGTGGTCAGTGTGGACCTATGGAAAGATAGTGGGCACTTCAATGGCCAGGAGTCGCTAGAGGCAGAGGAGGAGAGAACAAAGGCAGACTTAAGAGGGAGAGTGGGAGTAAAGAGACCATTCTCACTGAAGTGTAAGGAAGAAGATGACCAGAGTTGTGTGTTGTCTACGTGCAATGGATATCCCTTTTTATAGCCTCTAAGAACGTTGGAGGCTAGCTCACCTGTGGACAAGTGGCTAACACCCCTTGGCCCGACAAGTGGAGGTATCAATTTTACCATTGCTTCCTATGATTCAAACCTTAGAGGTCGTATCATGGAGCTGCAGAATTAGGTATGATACCTCATAAAGTGTATCATGGCATAATGTTGGTGGTAGGCATGATACTTCTTTCGAGGTGTCAAGTTTTGGTCAACATCCCTCTCTAAAAGTGATCAAGGAGGGGTCATTCCCTAGGGGAACAAGCCAAGCAATCTTAACAAGCCCTTGGTCCTAGTCTTAAACCACGAGCAATGGATACCTAGGCTATACTCATAGTCTAGGAAACCGAAGTGATGGCAATAGTAATAGCGATCATACATAGAAGCCCAAGCTTTGGGGGTTGAAAGACATGGCCAAGCCAAGAGCTAGACCATGTTGCTTACCAAGTGGGATTGGCAAATCAGAGGTACCTTGGCTCGGCCGAGTGGTACTCCTGGCCACTCCGCAGATGCCCTACGAGAATGAGGCATGAGGGAGGGACCATGGCTTGGTGAGAGAGCTTGTGCTGCCCAATGAAGAGAAGGAACACCTAAATTCAGACCACATAAATCAACCAAAGTACATAACTTACCGGCGATGATTCTGGTAGAAGTTGTCAAGCTGATAATATATATAAATGGGACTTTTCATTTGCTTCGGAACCTGAAAATTTTTCAACTTTTAAATAATGCAATTTTGCCCATCAGCTTGTTGTCGAGCTGAGAGAAGAGTTGGAAAAATAAAATAAAAATAAAAACACACACACACAAAAGAAGTAGAAGAAGAAGAAGAAGAAGAAGCCTGAAACAAATGGAAATAATCAGTACTGGGGCATTGGACTAACAGTTAAACTCCTGGTACAGGTCTTGTTAGTTTGGGCGCTTTGGATATATGCAAGCACATTATTGCTATAATTTGAAGGAATGCAACTCTTGTCATAACGGTCTACAATTTCCACCACCTACATGTCAAACAAAGAAACAGTTGATGTATAACATCAATCAGATGCTGACTACAAAACTTCACCAATGCAATTACAGAAAGATTTGAATATATTACATGCTCTGATGCAAACAAGGATGCAAGGCCAATGGGGATGAAGATGATGGCAACAAGAACGAATGCTGTAATGACCTGAAACCATGCGAGAAGAAAGAGCATTATACAAAAAATAAATAAAAATAAATTTCACAAGAGTTGATTCAGCTAGATAACCATCAACCGTACCCATCCAGGAGTTAGAATTGGTTTGCAAGCGGGAAGCTCTTGTTGTGTGAACCTCGAATCTAGAACATATAATAAATATCAGCTGAATGGTAGTCATGAAAGAAACTACATAACAAACACCATTAAAGGGAACATTTATTTCTACAACTAAAGTAATAAACACAATATTTCATATTGAAATTGACAAAAGTGAGACCATAAGAATTAAGAACCATTTGCATCTTGATATAACTCTATATGATGACAAAACATGATGCGTGTTACCAGCAGAATATGATTGAGTAAATCTACAGATAAAGTCTACAATATTTGCAACAAAAATCTCTGACTATTTTAAAAAAAGCAATATAACACAACTATTTCATTATTGTTGTACTTTGGTTGTCTCAGAAAAAATAAAATTTTTAATCTCTGTTTTCCAGTATCTGGGACCTGAGGGAACGAAACCACTACCCGAGTGCACCTGATAGGAGTATGTTGTGCAACAATTTTGGAAAGTGGGAATAGCATAAAGCACAAGATACAACTATAACATACTTAGAGAGAGAGAGAGAGAGAGAGTATTTTCTTTATTTTCTCAGCATTCAAAATTATGGAAAATGTATTTTTACCAAGTTTATCCTTTATAATTCAGTAATTTCACAAAATTGTATCATGAGTACTCTCCAATACACATATGACATTCTTTGAACTGGAAAAGGACAAGCCAGAAGTCCTCAAAACCCACCACTCACTGAGCATGATTTCCAACTAACTCCCAGATTCTTTTCAAATGTTAAATGTGCTTCTAAAACGAAATCTTATACACAATATATGAATCACCTATGAAGCACCGACACTTCAAAATAAGTGTCGCAACTGCGTCGGACACGGGGACATGATGGGGACACGTATGTGGCGTGTCTCTTTATTTATTTATTTATTTTTTTCAAGGGACATGCTGGGAAATTTGGGGACACGCCAAGGACACACCAACTAGTTTTTTTTGCCTACTTGCTTTAGCGCTTTTAATGGATGATGGATATTGAAAACATGATTTTTTTTTTTTTTTAAAATATAGAATTAGTGTTAGTTTTTGTTAATTTTGATTATTTGTTGATGCATTAATCTACATAGCAAATAAAAATATACGAAAAAATATTTTATTATTGTGTCCCCGCGCCGTGTCCATGTCTTAATTTTTTTGAAATCACCATGTCCCATGCATGTGTCCGTGTCCACATATAAAAAAATAAAATAAATAAAAAAAGAACCCCAAAATAAGATCTTCATGAATTTCTCGCTGAGTAACGGAGCTAAAGCACATTTCATCATCCAGCTTCTTAACACAAGAAATGATGGTTTTGAGCAAATGATCAAAGTAAATGAATTTCAACCGGGATAAGAAATTTAGCAGTACCATGAAGGAAATTGATACCACTTTTGCACATGGACACATATTGAGCATCCACGGGTGATGAAGGGGGGGGGGGTAAGGGATTCTCAAACAATTCAAAACAGGCTTACTCAACAAATTAAGCAGTGTGAAAAATCTAACACACAGCTCATGAGTAGAATAGTAAATAACTCGGTAAAGGATGCTGCACTTTGTCATTGTCCTCTTAATAAAATCCAATACAAAATTATCAAGGCAAAAATTTTAGGATTTTATGCGATAATTCCATTTCTTTCACCATCTTCCTTCCTTTTGGGTTATTTATTTACTTTTTTCCCCTCAGAAACAAGAAGAAATCGGTGAGGAAAAAGAGCGCACATGGAGCCAGGAGAGGGATATCAACTTTAAGCAGGCAAACGAAAGAAATAACAAGGGCCATATTGAAACAAGATCCAAAAGACCTACAAAGGAAAAACAAGTAGTCCATGGTCCTCATGATACCTTCACCTTGATTTGCCTTATTTTTATTTTGTTTTTTTGAAAATGTTGGTTTACCCAATCATTCTTCAAAATTTTTTGTCTAAATCGAATTTAAAAAGATGACTGACCATTTGAGTTTGGAAAAAAAAAAAAAAAAAAACAACAAAAAAAGAGAGAGCATTAGCAATTTTTGTGGAATAACTCTGTGTATTTTAATAACTTCTAAGCATTCGAATAAGGCGGTGATCAATAGTTTACTCACATAATCATTTATCATCCTTAATTCACCCAACATCACACTGCTGCATAAAATATCCAATTTAAAACATGGGCTCAGCTTTTATGTTGTGTTTGGTTTGGGGACTTGAGAAGGGATTTGAAAAGAAAAAAGGAAGGTAAAATATGAATAAAATATACCTACATTTTACCCAATTTCACACACATTTCCCCTTTCCCTTCCCAAATCCCTCTCCAAATCCCCCAACCAAAACAAAAATCAAGAACAATAGAACCCTATAAGCGCATGTATTTTAACTCGGCACAGTTTTCGGCATCAATAATGAATAATCTTCAGTAAATATATAGTAATAGCACATACATAGTGGACTGTTTTACCACAAATTTCAAGTTTATCAGAACAAAAGTTCTTGATTCACAGCCTAGTACAAGTTCTTGCAAACAAAACATAGATATAGCAATGACCCAGTATCATCCTACACAGTGATTGTGTGAATTGATTAAAAGAATACAACCATGAACTGATTCAATGCAGAATTACCCAATACAATTTCACAAAAATTGAATTAAAGAAACACTGATAAACATAACAAAATTCAAGAAAACATCAAGAATAATAAAAATTGCAGAATGTTAAAGTAAAAGAGACAAAAGCAAAAGGAAAGTTAAAGATAAAAAGAGAGAAAAGAGGATGGAGTTAAAGTAAATGCACATTTTGGTTTCTTTCTCTTGACAGCAGCAGCAGCAGCAGCAGCAGCAGCAGCAGATGATTCAGAGACTCCATCGCTGCCCCCCGGATTCATCTCCACCGAACCCAGAGAGAGAGAGAGAGAGATTGGGGGAAAATTAAGCAGGAGACTGCATCTGAGAAGTGTTGTTGCTTTTTTTTGGTTTGGTTTGGTTTGGTTTAGGGTCCTTTTGGGTTGGACTGTTTTTACTTCACCACCAGTCGGTTATTGTGTTCGTGCCCCCACCAATTATAATAATCGATTAATTTAATAAAAGAAAAATAGGTTAACCCAGGAGAATGTTTGGCATTAGTTTTTTAAGACATTTTTTTATAAATTTCTTTTCATTTATTTATATTTTATTTAGTTTATATTATTTTTTTATATTTCAATAAATCTTAAGAGTGACATAATTACCAAAATATCCTTAATAATATTCACATTTACAGTGTAAATGTTTCGTGATGTGAATGTTCATACCGTCAATGTAAATGTTCACATTATTAATGTAAATGTTAAATATATCAATATGAATGTTCACATTATCAATGTGAAAATTCACACGTCAATATAAATATTAACATTATAAAATATGAATGTTTATATTATCAAATTGCTAACCGTTCAAAAAATATTTGTAAGGGTAGAAATGTCCATAAAATACTTTAAATATGAGAATTAGGATTTGGTAGATCAAATGTTCAAATAATAGGACATATTGGAATAGAAGAATATCTTATGGATTAATTGGGATACAAATACTTAAAAAATGATTTTCTAATAAATCTTCCTAGTTTTTTATTTATTTTTTAAAGTAATTTTTAAATCATAAATTTAGATAAAAATTAAAAATAAAAATGTGAAGAGCAATATAAATAAAATATAGGAAATTTTTTTTAAGCTCCATGATATTAAGATTTTATAAGATAAAAAATAAACAATATTTTCATAGTAGTTAAGGTCCCTCAACATTTTTACAGAGAAAATTCGACTCAAAAACATTTTGTTTGACTTAGAGAAATTTTGTCCCGACTCAAAGAAATTTTGAAATTTCTCTGTGATCATACAAGAGAAATTTCAAAATTTCTCAAAGTCGAGCAAAATATCTCTAAGTTGAATTTTCTCTGTGAAAATGTTGAGGGACTTTAATTAATAAAAAAAAATATCTTAGACTTCTCTTACTATACAAAGTTAGAGATGGATGTTTCACTAATTTTTCCTAAAATTTAAGTTAAATTTTTTCTTTATTTTTTTTCTCTTTCAAAATAAATATACTAGTTATTACTGCATTTAATATGTTACTAAAATAATTTATTTTAGTGAAAAGTTGAGGACATTTTTATTTTTATTTTTAGGTAAATAACAAAAAGAATTTTGACATTTCAACTTATTAATCAAAACATTGTTGTCTTAGCTTTATCACAAACAAATCGATGAGGAAGAAATTTAAATTTTAAAATATGTTAATATATATATATATATATTTGGAATTATTCTCAAATAATTGAGTCAAGCTTGAGTCCAGCAGTAGACTATTTACATTGAATTCAAATTTTTAGAGAGTTTTAAATATATTATAACTTGGTTAATTTATATAATAAGTCAATCTTAACTAAAAATTTAATGAATACATAATTTCATTTATTTTACAATTTTAATAAAAAAATTCTTTCAAAGGAAAAAAAGGTGAGGATGGGACATTATAATATTTGACCAAATTAATTAATTGTAATTAATCAAAAGTATTTTTGTTTTTAACAATGATAGAGATCACTAATTTTGGAGCTCTAAAAAGACCACTAATGACATGGCACTCAATAAAAAAAGAAAAAAAATACAACACCAAAGTCAAAACATCAAATCATTCATAATAAGGTCTACTACCACATCATTAGTGATAGCACTAATTAGGACTCTGACTCATCTTCCTTTTGTTTTTTGCAAATACCTTTCAACTTCAAGAAGAGAGAAGTCAACAACAATTCAGAGACGGAGCGCATTGTATCACGCGTTGTAAACACAAGGGTTTGTTAGTTCACGCCTGCCTTAACTACCGGTCTAGGGTGGGAATATGTCATAACGTGTCATTTTTATGTTGTATTGTGTTTAAAATAATTTAATATTAATATGATTTATTTAATTAAATATGTTAATTATCTTGATATTGACCGAATTTACTTATAATTGTATTAATCTTAACATGACACGTTTAATATGATTAGCAAAAGTTTATATTTCATATTATAAGCAAATTGTACTGCTTATTTAAATAAATAAACATTGTTTCACATCATATGCATAAGAATTACTTGTTTAAAAATTGACACAATGATAATATATATGAAAATAATTAAAAATATTCATCACTTATCCATTACACATCAAATCTAAACTATTGTCACTCATTAATATTTAAACATACAATAAATTTTAAAAAGTAAAATAATTTTTCATCTAATAACAAACTGAGAATAATAATAATAATGTAGCAGCTATGTCACATCCAAATTAACATTATTATGATTTTTTCACATTAACTTCTATCACAAAAACATTGCTGCCACACATTCAAACTACCAACCTTGACTTCTGTCAATTTATCATTAATTTAGAGTTGCACTTCATTATATATATATATTATATAGAGATTTAAATTTAAATCTAACGGATGAGAATGAATTACTCAAAATCTTATGATTACTAAATTCAGGTTGCATTCGAGTTATATGCGATTTAGTAGTGGGTTCGTGTTAATGTGTCAACACAAATATTTATACGGGTTAAATATGTCTATTTCGGATTTCTTGTATTCAACCCGAACACGACCCATTTAATGTTTGTATTTTCGGATCGTATCCTTGCCAAATGCCCCTGCTCAACTCAAGCTTTGGTCTCAAACAAGGGAAATTCTATACTATATGCACCTTTAGGCATTATTTGATTAGCATGATTAATAATGAAAGAATTAATAATTATATGAATTAGTATAAGATTCATTATCCAATTAAATTAGTGAGACAATCATTTATTATATATTTATTTTTTTTCATACTTGAAATTATGAATCCCTAACATATTTCAACATTAAAAATTCGTCAATTTCGTTGGATTAAATATCCGTCATACATATAATCCGATTAATAAAATTTACAATCAAACATAGGATTGTGAATTCATTGACTAACAATCCCAATCCTTTGGGAAAGTATTTTGCGATTGACACGACGTGGCCAAGATATCCTGGGATGTCAACTGAGGTGTCACATGGATGAGTCATGGTGCTGAAGTGATCACAGCATTGCCAAGATGTTCTGCGGTAATGTTGAAATGCTGAGGTATCCAGATAAGGGATAAGAGTCCTAAAACGGGGGAGGATCTCAGTCTGGATAAGGATAAGGCTTATGAGGTGTTTATCCCTATCTAGCTGAGAGTTTAGGATGAGCATTGAGCTTGAGTCCAATGAAGTGAGGCTTCTAGGTGATCAGGTCACTGCTGGTTATAAAAGTGAGGCATTCTTGTGGGTCTCAGATAAGTTCTTTCTTGTGAGTTTTGAGAACTATTTGCTGTTTGTGAAAGATATAGTTTACTGACTTGATCGTCGGAGTGCCCCCAAGTGGACGAACTACCGCTGAATTCTCATCTTCTTGTTACAGGTTGTTGGGCTTAATCTATTCTGCCAGTACTCTCCAGCTGAGTTTTCCTTTTGGTTGTGTGGTCAGAAATCTACACCCACAATTGCGTGTCGTCTATGAGAACTCAAGGAAAATAGATGACCAACAACAGGCAGGAAGAAAAGATTGGGGACGACATACACAGTGAGAGTGAGAAACATGTGGATCCTAATACCAGGGAAAAAAACCATAATGAAGGAGTACAGGAACCAAATCTCAGGAAAAAGAACGCCGGCAAAGAGCGTAACATCCCGAAGAAGGGAGGCCGAGATGAGTATTACAATGAAAGCGACCTCCAAGTCTGGAATGATAGATGTCTGAGGAGGGATGGAGAAATGAAAGGAATGGCAAATAAGTTAGCAGACCTACAATCAGTGATCAACTTTATGATGCAAAACAACGTGATGTAACCACCATTCCCGTTATAGGACACGCCGGCACAAGCAACCAAGACTGATGCCCGGAGAGGGGAACAGAAAACGGTCCCAGTAGTCCGCAGCATGGTAAGGGACAGAAACATTCACATCAGTCTTCACAGGATATCGAGTGAACAAAATTAATACAATATGTGTCGCAGAAGACACCACGAACTAAGGGGATCTATGTCAAAGAATTTCGGCATATCCAAAGGAAGGGCCTTTGTTTGGATGCAATGGACGAAGGGAAGTCCACGCCAAAGAGGTTGAAATTTATTGATAGCTAAGCTCCTAGTAGGACGAAGGAGAATTTGAGAGAGTACCTCCAAAGGAAGTGACTCAACGCCGAGATCATATTTACCGTCAAGCCGAATACGCCATTCTCGGTTGAGTTGGATACGTTTAAGGCCCCAAAGAGATTCAACATGCCGAGGCTTCAGATCTATGACGGTAAGTCTGATCCAAACTTTCATGTTGGTTTGTATTTAAATTTAATGGCTTTATGAAATGGAAATGAGCAAAAACTATGCAAAGTATTCCCCTCATCCTTTGAGGAGATAACATCAGATTGATTTCATAAGTTGCCAAAAGAAACTATGAAGAGTTGGGAAGGCCTGACCGAGATGTTTGTGGCCAGGTTTGTTAAGAACAAGTCGCAGCCACTGAGGGTAGATTCCCTATTAGCTTTGAAGATTAGTGATGACGAAAGCCTCAGGGCTTACGGCAAGAGATATTATGAGGTATACAACCAGATTCTGGGTTGTAATCAAGAGTTGGCGGTCGTGTTTTTCAAGAGCGGCTTGAATGATAAATGCTCGCTTCAGAAGTCATTTGCAAAAACTCCATCGAAGAGCATGGAAGAGCTAAAGGCACGAATTGAGAAGTATGCCAAAGTAGAGGAAGACACACAAGGAACGGGGACACTAAAGCAAGAAAGGAGAAACGGCTCGTTGAAGCGAGGCCGCCTAAGCAAGGCTGAGGGAATGCCGGCGTTGACAGACAGGAAATAGGAATGAGAGCTATGTAAGTAGTCAGCACGATATTCAGGATCTCAATCTATAAAGTTTTGGAGAGGATCAGGAACCAGCCATATTATAGAGCGCCAGATAAA